TGGCTTTCTTTCGGATCTGTAAAAAGATTTAACCAAACACACAATCACCTCAAATAAAACGGAAACAAATTTAATTAAAACTAAAGGGGGGCACCCGGTTAGTTTCAAAAGATTAGAATTCCTTCGAACACAGTTCAGTCAGTCTATTCCACATTACATTCACTGTTTCAGCTGACACCCCAACTTTTTTCAAGGAACATCTCGATGAGAACATTGGATCCACAGGGATCCAACCACCAAACTGGCCAGATGATCCAAATAGCCTCCTCTCGTTCGTAACCTTTCTTTTGTCCTCAGATATTGTGACTAGAGTTGTTGATCTCAGGGGACCGTCTCCCAGCATTGTTACCTGGTAGCCGTGGAGCCTCCTCAGTCTCGGAGTCGAGAGCTTCCCCCCGGGCGTGGCGCTCCTCGGTCTTGACGGTCTCGTCTTTGCTCTGTGCCTCCTGGCCGCGCGTTCCTTGGCCTTCCTCGGCCGACACCTCTCCCTCCTCTCCCGGCCTGAGGAGCAGCTCCACTCCCGGCTCGATGTCCTCAAGCGCCTTGACGTACGGCCTCCCGCGCAACCGAAGCACGCACGCGTTCCACTCTCCCTCGCTTCCGGCCCTGCAGGCAAACCTGGGCATGGGAGAAAGGGCGGGAACTGTGTGGGCATGCAGATGGATCCCTCGATACAACAGGACCCAAGAATGAGGATTCCCATGATCAATAAAATAAGACACGAGACATGGCTGGATGACAGCAAGGAGTCCTTCTCCAGGCCCTGGAGATGCTTAGCAATGAGTCTTAGCAACTGGATTCTTTGTGCTCCTCTATAACTCAGATCTTATAGGCCTTAAGGATGAGAATTGTATTTTCCCCAGCTGACTTGATTCTTGTGTCTTGTGTCTACAACTGCGTTCCCAGCCTTGGCCCTCGAACCCACACACCTCTGGGTTAAACTCGTTAGAGCACCGAGTTAAATAATCAAACCCTTAATAGACACAATCACTGGTTTAATTTGACACGTTTGTTTTCAGGTCCTTTTCTGATCCCCAAAGGTAGGGGCTTGCCTTTGAAGTAGTGTGCTTCTTGAGTTACTTCAGATCGCCGGTTCCTGGGTAAAAAAGAAAACCTTGCAAAGATTCCAACCAAGCAACTTCCTGGTTCAATGAAAGAGCTCAGCTGCAGTGCACAACAAGCCGGCGTGTGGGTCCCCAGGACGAGAAATTGGGAACCTCCAAGCTAGAGGAATTTTTCTTATTCAAATTACCTTATCCAGTTACCTGCCTCCTCGAGAGGAAGAGGGTCTATAGTTTGTTCAGAATTCGGTCCCCTTCCCTGTTAAAAAAAAACAATTAGGCAGACATAAATTTTGACATCTTCACAGTTTTATTTGAAGTAGATAATGAAGATACCAAATGTGCAGTACAGCCACCTGCTGGATGCTGAACCCATTACACTAAGGTTTCTAGTCCTCAAGCTCTCAGGGTTTGTTTTACTAGTAATAACATCATAAACTGGAAAACACTATAGCTGGAATTAACCTTACACTTTATAAAGATTTTATTGATTTACAAAACTGCTGTTTATATGTCCTCGAGTGGCACAGTGGTGCTTTGGTCATCATTGCTGCCTTGCCATGCTGGGGCTCTGGGTTCAATTCTGGCCCTGGGGTGCTGTCTGTATGGAGTTTGCATGTTCTCCCTGTGTTTGGTTTCCTCCCGGGGTCCAAAGATATTTTGATGGGTTAATTGCCTTCTGTAGAAACTGTCCCTGGAGCGAGTGTGCTTGTGTGTCCCTGCAATGGGCCGATATCCTGTCCAGGGTGCATCCTGCCTTGCCCCTGTTGCTTGCCAGCATAGGTTCCAGCTTTCCTATGACCCTGAGCTGAATGAATCGGTTAGAAAACAGATGGATGGATGAACTCGTACCAGACCTACCTCTTCAGTCTCATCCACACCGGTGGGATGGGCGCAGTTCTCCAATGGCCCAAAGAAAGCTCCTTTGTGCACGGCCTTGCCCACACACCAGACGCCGATGCAGCTGCCCCGTGCCAGCGAAGGTCCCAGCGCCAGCCCCGGGGGCAGGGTGCGCAGGAGGGCGGGGCAGGGGGACTCTGGGTCCGGACTGGAGCTCCTAATGCACCGCAGGACCCCGGCAGCTGGGCACTCCCCCCCAGAGCCTTCTCTGCAGTCATCACAGGCTACGTGCAGACGGGTCACACAAGCGATTCAATTGTACAAATCAAGCACAACAACAAGGACAGAGGAATACTGCAGAGGAGGCCCAGAATGAAACAGAAGAAAAGCTGAAAATCACAGAGGCGATGCTACCAGCCGGCCACAGCACTTAGTACAGAGCACGTTTCGCCTTAAGGGGGGCTTGGCACTATAGCTGGGCTGTGCTCTTGACATCTTTCGATTGAACTGTCAGCTCCAGTCACTGCTGGTCATCTAAATGCACACAGGTTTAGAGAACAAGCAGCGTATAATTCCACACTGAAAACTAACAAGAAAAGTGAAAAAACTATGTTTCGGTCGTGGATGCTTGGGGGAACGCAGAAGAGTACAGGAATACTATGCTAAGGGGAGCTGGGAAGACAAAAGACAGGCTAACGAGACGAGACTGGGTCATACCAAGAGGAAATGGTGCTGAAGAGGTAAAGATCAACCATTTGTACAGTATATGATTTTTACTGTTAAAGAATCTTTTTTATGCATTTTAGAGAACAGGAAACAAAAACTATGACCGACTATGATAGTTTAGTCGCAGTCTGAACTACACATCATTATGATTTTTTGTAACTAGGCATGTTTTTCACATACATTATTAGGAGCTTACTCTGTGCATACATACTTTCCTTTATTCGTGTTAATGTGATTAAAATGTACACGAATTGCAGAAGTACAGGACCCCACGCTCACGCTCTGCGCATGCGTCGTATCGTGACGCGTTTAGGATCACAGAAACTGAACACTGCACGAAGGCGTTAGTAAATTGCAACTTAACAGTTGGCAGAAAACAGCACTGGATGTTTTCAGCATAGGGTGCATAGTGTCAGTATACAACTACGGACAAACACATTTTGAACTCATTACATCGACCATGAAACTACGTCTTTGTACAACCTATCATATCAATACTGATGTTTACTGAATGACTGCTTAAACAAAACTGTACTCACACAACGTTTTCTGATTCTTCGTAAAAATACTCCAGCTCGTCTCTGTTTTTCGTGACATTACACTTCCTGTATTTGAACTTGTCTTGCGCTGAGCCTTGTGAGAAAACTTAAACCTCTAAACCTCTTTAGCTAAATTTAAATACTGTATATGAATAATTTCAAACAGTCTTAGGTAACAAATAAACAGTGTCAACAGTGAGGCCCTGAACAAAACAATCAACTTAAGACTGAAGGCTATTTTTTATATCTTAATGCATACCGGGCTGTAGTAACAATAATGTAAATTATTTAAGTAACCCAGGGTTAGATTTCTGTCAAGTCTTGGCCATTTCTGTTTCGCTTCTAAAGTCTTCTCTGTCTTTCATCCCAAACTCCGGGAAAATCATCGCTCTCCAGCCAAGATGGAGACCATCCGGAAACTGTGGCCACAAGCTCAAACATCCGGGTGGAAACATTCTCCCTCCACATTCCCAGACGTCAATGTGAATTTGTTTACTGACGAAAGACGTGGGTTCAAGGCTCGATTTTGAAATACGGTAATTATCTCGCATCATACTGTTATCGATAAATCTACATTGCACAATATCGAGCACAACATAAATGTCTGGGAACCGAATGAATTCATTTAGTTTCTCCTCGGACGACGTTTCGCAGACACTCGCGTGTAAAATTCTGCAAATGGCAAAAAAAAACTCCTAACATGACCCGAATAGCTGCGGACCCTTTCCTTCCCAGGTTTTTTCGAGCACTGTCTTTTAAGAATGTTTTGCCTGCGACGTCTGCCACAAAATCCAGGAGAACAGCATGTAATAAAGAATAAAATCTCAAGAAGCATTTGTGATTAAACGAAACATGATACACCCACTACATAGAAATACGGTTTGTAACGTTATGGCAAGCATACATTTTTTTAATGAATAATTTACAATTACAAAGGCGTAGAATTAAAATAATTGTTTTACATTTACATATAATAATATGCCTTTAATAGAAAATAGTCTAGGGTTTAACGTAATCTTAAAATTGATACTTTTCCTGAGCAAGAGACACCATAAAAGCGGGGTTTAATTATTTCAGTCTGCTGGAGTAGAAAACATTTATCAATATCTAGCACTAGCTTAATTTGTTTCCCAATTGAAGAACACAGCGATTTTTTTTCATAGAATATACGAGTAAGGTTCTTGATTTACAATTCAGTCTGTAAATAATCGCCTATGTACCGAGCATACTGTATGTGGTCAAAGAACGAACTATACAATTTTACTATTTTCTTGTTGGATGAAAGTCCTGCATTTAATTAAATTGAAAAGATCGTATTTTCCTACTGGTTTTATAGCATTATGGTCTATAGGATTTTGCGAAAGCATTTGTTCACCCATGTGACTGTGAATTACAATTTGTTCGTTTAATTTTACGTAACGGATGAAAATCCTTCTAATTTGTAGACGTACAATTCTGCACTCGAAAAATCCAAATACCTTTAAAAATTTTCATTTTTTCCCCCAAATTAACCATTTTCAAGTTATCCCTCTTAATTGGAACTTCAAGTACACAAAACTGTGGACTAATCATTATACATCGATAATATACAAGATATTAAAAGGCACAACTTTAGACGAACACTCCTGTAACTAAGATGTCCTTCCATTTAAGAGTCAAGAGTCCGGTAAAAGAACTTGATTTTAAAATCGCATATGGTGAGAAGTGAGTTGATAAGACTAAATACAAAAATAATGACACTATGGCAAATACACCTAAGCATAACGATTTATTATTTTATTTTTAAAGAACTTGGAGAAGAACGTGGGTTTAGGATAATTAAGCACATGTAATCTGGGAATTAAAATTAACGTTTAATAGTTTAGATAACTTTTTAAGGGATCTTACACTCACCAGAATAATCAAAAATAAGCACAAAGATTGTATTAATATGGGCAGATGACGACCAGTATTATAAGTCAACTACTACTACATTTAATCGTGAGCGAGGCAAAACATTATACATCATATTGGACCGTAGCTGCAATCAATAATTGAACTGCATGTCAGCGTGCCTAAACCAAAACTTTTAACTCGAAACCAAGAATAAACTTCAAGATAATAAAAGCCTTCATGAACCATATACATCTTTCCTGATTGCTCCGTGGCTACAAGCTAGGAGGCTAAATTTTATAAGGTGCTTCCTCTTAACTCCTGGGTTGGAGATCGGCGACAAGCGTGCATAGCACAGGTAGCTTCAACTGTTTTGTAGCCAAACTTTTCAAAATATGCACAATTTTGTCTTCGTCTTCGATTTCGGGGGTCCCTCTCTGGACTCAAGTTGCTTTCTTCCGTTTTCCATGTCATTTCCTGTAATAAAAAGATGGTGGTCAAAGCTAAGAGCAGCAGCTGACTCGCTGAAAATTATTTCGAATATAAAAAAAAACTTTACCTCGCCTGGGACTACTAAATCACAACTGTGCCGGCGCGTCATCCGAGGCGAGCTCTGCGCGGCAGGGACTGTCCAGTTCACGGACCTGAGAGTAGAGCGCAAAAGCCGAAAAAAGGTTTTGAATTCTGTAGAAGGTGAGTCAGTCTTTAGTAGCCAATGTGGCCAATGAAAATGGCTTCTGAAAGAGCTAGGCAAATTGCCAACAGCCTGCAGACTGGGATCGGGGACATATCTGGTGGTGATACGTGTAGCAGCCCGTGAATAGACCTTCAACAACAGAGGTTCAGTGGGTTCTTAGGGGCGCTTGTCTTTGCGATAATGTCACACAAACTTTGCAGGTATGTGGAGTTTTATTTAAAGGGGCAAGATCTCTCCTGTTTTTGTTGCAGTTTTTTTTTGTTACACTGTAGCCCTGTTTTTTTTTTGAGCGACGTCACCCGTAGCCAATCAGCGCGCCGGAGTGGCCACGCTAGACATTTTGCCACGGGGGGGCGGTGACGTCGCCAGGCGGAGTTCGGATTCCGAGCTGTGGTTTGGAAAGGTGGAGGTGTGTAGAAGCGCTGTCCCCGTGTTGCCAGTATTCCCCCCCCAAAAAAAAGCATGAAAGCGAAGCATTTTTTTTTCTTTTTCACATGCAATCAATGTCTTTCTTCCTTACTACGCCAGGGCTTTCTTAGTTTATGCACGAGTTTGCTTTTGCTGCATGTAGGAGTTTGATTTTGCTGGAAGGCGGAGTTACGTTGTGGTTTTTTTTTTGGGGGGGGTTGGCGTCTTCTAGGTTTGGTGTCACTGCGCGAGGTTTTGTGACCCCCCCCAAAAAAGCAGTTTCCGTATTAAAATAAAAAGGTTATCTCCTATTTTACGTTGTTCGTCCTTCGCTATCACGTCGGCTTTATTGCATTTTCTGCGATGTGGAACATTCATATTAAAGTGTGTCAAAGCTTAAATATGTGTTTGTCGGTAAAATGTTTTGGGGTTTTTGGTTAAAATATTGTACATTTTCTTAAGATGTGTTGAAATGACTACATTTAAAGACCACCCACCGCGCTGCTCATGCCTAATGTTTAATACGTAGATTGCTGGGACCTACTTCATTGCTTTTAACGCAGATCAACTCGAAGAACAGCTCGGAAATGCGATCTGATAAATATCTAGCCATGGAGTCCTCCTTACAGGAACATACAGGAAATTTCAAATCACAACTTATTTACTAATTGACATTTTCCTGCTGGTGAAAATTTCACTGATGTGTCAGGCAGGCGCTTGTATGAGAACCCAGAAACCAAGTCCAGCAGTAAAGTATGCATACCGTTATGGTGAGTTATTCCAGCGTGACTGTGAAAAACCAGCTTTTGACCCCAGACTAGTGCATTTCATATAATTCATTCCATATGATGGGAAGAACAATAGAGCAGCAGCTCAGTGTGTTACAAGAATTTTTAAGGGGAGAATTATTTTTGCTTTAAATAAAACTCTGCAAGTCCTACGAATTTTCACTCGCAATGCTTTTCTGCTTCAAAGACGTGGAAATTTTGTTTACCTACTATATAAAATACTAAAATGGCCCGTTGTCTCAACGTAGTGTTGATGCTTTCGGAGTACGTGCCAGTAAAACCATTGTTGCGATTCTTCCTACGCAGTTTATTCAGATTTCCTGTTTTTTGTGTTTAATCGAAGACTCGTGGGATGTTAAATGTGTGCTCCATTAGGCCGTCTCTTCTTGTGTTGTACGCTCTTTTGTCCATTGTTGTACTGCTGGTGATTTAATGAACGTGTCCTTCCGAACTCCGATTTGAACTGTAAATAAAGTCTTAAATCTCAATGCAGACGACTCTTTGTTGTTGAAAACTATGAATTTAAGAATTCAAGGGCAGATCTACATATTAAATGCATTTTCCCCAAAGTGGCAATGTACTTGTTACTTTTTGTTCCATTAACCTTACCTTTAATCCAGGGCAGGTATAGTTACAATATGTCAGTACCATTATATATAATATAGTCTAATTAACGAGAACTAACAAGTATATACAACAAGAAGTAAACGCATAGTTATGCGGACAAGGAAAAGTTAACTGCACGCTGAAAAACAAAACAGGAATGCAACATTTTGGCTGTAGGGCCTTTTCCAGTGTGGAATTAACTTTAACTTGTTCTTTAGCAGCCAGCACATGCTGACGCAGCTCCCCACTTGTTCATGTAATATGTGTATTACGCAATTCAGCCTGTTACTTGTTTTGATCACTCCATTGTATGATGGCAATTGCTTACGTACAGAATTTCCCACTGTACTTAAATGAGAAGAGTATGAATGGGAAATTGGTTGTGGAAGGTTATGTACAAGGCGTTTGGAATATGGTCTAGGCTTCCCTATGCAGTTAACATAAAATGCAGATTTTTGCGGTTTGGCATCAGCAAATATCAAGTACAAGCACTCCAGACTTTGTATGTAGCTGCATTTAAATCCAAATACACAATCAGCGCTGAAAATGCAACAGAGTAGCCGAGGACTTTATCTCAGAAATAGGGACACGTATTTCCAAAGCTTGTAATCATTTCAACCTTCTCCTTTGACACTTTTGATATTTTTCCATCGAGTCACCTAATAGACGTAATGAATGGTTATTTTTGTTCTGGTGGTACTGCTGTGCTTCATTGTGTCTCGAAGATCCGATTGCATTTTCCCGAGCAGCGCCTTGGCTCTCACCAGCCCCTTTTCCCTGCCCTTGCCTTCCTGCAGCGCTGGCGTGAGAGGCTTCACTGGGAATTGCAGGTCACCCAGCCTCAGGCCCCCAGCAATGGCCGAATCCAGCACCTCCAAAAAAGAGTCTTCTGACGAGGAGCCCAACTGCAGCAAGAGGTAGTCTCTCTGGGGGGGGACGGGGGACAGGGGCACTGTCATAAGAACATAGAAGCTGGTATTAACAAGATGCAACCATACAGCCTTTCTAACTCGATTGGTCGTTAGTAGCTAAGTGATCTGCGGATCTCATCCAGCTGTTTCTCGAAAAAAAGTACCAGCTTCAACAACATGACTTGGATAGCTAGTTCCATGCTCCTACGACCCTTTGTGTCAAAAGTTCCACCTGTCAAATGTAGTGCTTTCTCCAATTTCTGCCTTTTTTTTACATCGTTTTTTTTCTATTTTCTAATCTTGAGTTTGTATTATTGGGCAGCACAGTGATGCAGTAGTTAGCAGAGCTCTGAGTTTAATTCTGGACCTGGGGTGTTTTCCGTGTGGAGTTTGCATGTCCCCCCTGTGTTCCTGTGTGTTTTCTCCAGGTGCTCTTGTTTCCTGCCACACTCCATAAACTTACTGGTCGGTTAGGTGGTTTCTGGGAAATTTGGCCCTGGTATGTGTGTGTATTTGTGTCAGTGCGTGTCCTGCTATGGACTGGCGTCCCATCCAGGATGTATCCTGCCTTGTGTCTCTTGCTTGCCGGGTTAGGCTCTGGCTCTCCTGTGGCCTTGTATTGGATAAAGCACTTGGAAGATGGATGGAGTTTGTAATGTTTAAAAAGTGTGGGGTGTGTGGTACTCATAGGTGGGTGTTGTGTCCTGCTGTCCATCTGCTTCTTTCACAATACCCTGATAATACCGTCGCCAGCTGCAGGCATAAAACAGTTTTACTCTTAACCCTCTCCTGTCTGATTCCAGCAGAATCAAAGAGGAGGAACACCACCTGAGCGATGAACCCAAGAAGAAGCTGAAGGTGAAGCACGAGCACTGCGTGGCTGCAGGCTACCCACAAGTGGACTTCTGGTGTAAGTGTTCAGTCTTCTCCGAGGAGCTTCGGCTGTTTCCCCTTCTCCGGTTCCCCAGATGCCATTTTACCAGTTTTACTTCCTTTTAATCATGTTTTTGGTTATATTAAAGGGGAGCCGCAGTCCACATTTCTCAGTCCGGTTATTAAATCTTGGTAACAAAATACATACGTTGACGGTATAGGAAAATTGTACAGATTTCGAAAGAAGCACAAGATCGTGAACTTGGTGAAAGTACTGTAAGTCGCCGTGTTGTTGCAAACTCCTGGTCTCTCCACAGGAGAATTGCGACGCGATGCGTATTTGTCGGCAAAACCGTCTCGAAGTCGAGAGCACTATTTCTATTGGATTAAAAAAGATGTATTCACAAGTCTGGTTGTTTACAGTGTAGTAGGACCGCTTCACTTTACCGAAAATGTTGTTGCCTCATTCTGAATCGCAGAACATGGTGATTCGCAAAACTGGAAATATAATCTATTTTGTGGTGTAAATTGAGATTTTACAAGGTACGCATTGTGCTTTTATTGTGGTTTGAAATGCACTCCTCAATGTGACTTCTTTCTTACCCCAACGTATAAAAATAGCGTTGCAGTTCCCCTAAATAATGTTCTTATTTTGACTGCATTGCCGCTTGTGTCGTGTTTGAAGTTCGAACTGTAAGGGCGTGCGTGTTTTGTGCTTGTTCTCCTGCAGTCTGTGAAGAGTGTAAGGAGTATTTTGTGGAGGAATGCCCGGCACACGGCCCTCCCGTGTTTCTGCCGGACACGCCTATAGCTGTGGGGGTGCCCCGCCGTGCAAGCCTGACGGTCCCCCCAGGAATCGAGGTGATTCAGGAGCCAGGTGGCGAGACAGATGTGTGCTGCGTGGACAAGGTGTTCAGGAAAGGCGTGCTGTTTGGCCCATATGAGGGAGAGGTGGTTGCGCAAGATAAGTCGTCTGGATTCTTCTCCTGGATGGTAAATAAAAGCAGGATTTTTTAAAAATGTCCGTTAGTCATTCTGCGAAGAGCTCTAGTCGGGTGTGCACAGTCGCTCTTGCCAGGTCGACAGAGAGCTGCAATTATGCCTCGATGCATCAGGTGTGCACTTTGTTTTGCTTCAGATAAAGGTGATTTTTGGCTTCATTTTCTTTTTCAGATTGTTGACAAAAACAACCGATACAAGTCAATTGACGGCACTGATGAAACTAAAGCAAACTGGATGAGGTATTTTTCTTTCACCTCTTTGTTTGAGATCAGTGTTGGAATACCACACGTGCTGCTTCTTAATTGAATAACGGTCTACTGACAGAGGTCTCAAAATAATAATATAGTTGCAGTCAACCTCATTATTTGTTAGCGCATCCAACACTGTTCTGTGTCAAAGGTTTAAGGAGGGTTCCTGAACTTGTAAACTGATACTGTACCAGTGACGTTAACTTAATGTAGTCGATGAACAATTAATGAAAACAGCATGAATGTAAAATGGAAAGGAATCCTCAGACCTATTCGCATTCATCAAAGTTGGAACATGTCCATTTTTTTAATAAAAATATCAAATTTCTTAGGTGCGCATCACAGTTCTTTCAAATTATATCCTACTTCTTTACAGAGAAAGACAGAGCACAGAATAATTCACTCCTACTGGAAGTGTACAGTATGTGCAGTATACATTTAATGAATATTTACTCATATTTTCTGTACTTTCCAATTGAAATGTCTTTAAAGTTGGTGGCTGTTTTTACATACCATTAATGATTGAAAGCTCGTTGTGGGGGTAGTTCATGAACTGGTATTTAATTAGAAATGATGTGTAGATAATGAGCAGAAGAAGAGGATCTTAGGAAGTCAAGAACCGCTTATTGAAGAGCTGAAGAACATACACAGACAGTACCCAATAAGTTCAGTTCTGCTGTGATGCACAAAAACTTGCATTCTGATATATGATGCTTTTGCACGCCAACAGAAGTTAATGTGCTCTCCTCTGATGGGCTCACCAGCAGGAATTTGGGGATATGCATTTTAACGAATATCCCCTCATCGAATATACTCATTCTCATCAGTATCCTATGATTTCTCTGCGACGGTTTTTGCAGCATTCTGGGAGGCTGCGCAGTGTTAAAAGTGAAAGGACGCAGTGCGTTCGTCTCTGAGTCTCGTGTTCCCGTGCTGTTGGCCTCAGGTACGTGATGATCTCTCGGGAGGAGAACGAACAGAACCTGATGGCCTTCCAGCACGGCGAGGAGATCTACTTCCGCGCCTGCCGGGACATCACGGCGGGCGAGAGGCTGCGCGTATGGTACAGTGCCGAGTACATGAGGAGGCTGCACAGCATTTCCCAGGAGAGCATCGACCGCAACCTGGTGGGAGGTGAGCATTTGGAGTTTCCCCTCCCTGCTGGTGACTTCCCACAGAAGTCCAGCTTGGTTTGTTTTCAATTTCTCTCGTTCGTTTCTGCTCTGGAAATGCACTTGTTTCCACCTCGGTGCAGTGGGAAGGTTAAACGCTCTCTTGTGGGAAAGGGAGCGTGAATCTGGGCGTGCTGTCAATGTAACCCTTTCTGTGTCAACAAGAAGAAAAAAAAAACTTGGATGGATAAACTCTTGGTTGCAGTGCCTCAAGCCCTCTAGTGTCCGTCCTGCAGTGAAACTGTTTGGAGGCACCCTGAGGCACTCCAGCTGGGGGCAGTGTCCCGAGCAATGCGCTGCTCCAGACTGCGAGTCTTCTATTGCGGTGACTTTGGCACAGACGCTTTTCCTCTGAGAGAAACACTGTTGACTTCAGGCAGAAGCAAACATTTCCCTGGAATCCTCTTCAGTACAAACTCAAAGTGGAAATACTGCCTTATTTAAAAAGTAAGCAAACGTTGCCAGTGAAATGTACGTTCGTCCACATGTTGCTGTTCTATTTTTGGTTAAGAATTTAATTATGTCACAGATGAAATGTGGAAATTTCCCCGGATGACTTCCCCTAGTTTTCATTTCAGTTTTGCCGTCGGTATTTTGAATCGTCATTTTAAATCGGGGACCTGCTGTCAGGGAAGGAATCTTTCAATGTGGAAATTTGAATCGCAGGGTATCATGCTCTCCACTGTTTATTATTAGAGTTTCATTGGTGTAGGACAGGAAAACACTGATTGATATCAAATAATATGTGGCAAATAAGCTCAATTGAACACAATTGTTCTCAATGTCATTACAGCATATAAAACTAATTACTTCCATTGTTTTTTTAAGTATACGGCTTAATTACAAGGATTTCACTCTCCTTGATACCGTTCTTTCACCTGTAAGTAGTGTGTCAAGCTTGTGAAGTCCCCTCCTGGTGTTTTCGCTCAGGGCTGGCAGTGATTAACAGCCATGGGCAGCGCTGGTCACTCCGCAGGGAGTCCCAGCAAACGGCAGGGTGTGGTGGCAGACAGAGCCTTCGTGCCGCTCGGAACGGAAAGGACTGTTGTGGTGTCGGGAGCGAGGAGAAACGAGGGGTTCTTGCTGCGGCTGATGGGTTGGTCTGCCTGCGGAGTGTGGTCCATCGCTGTTGACTCTTCGGCATTATCTCCTCTCCTGTTCAGACTTCCTGAGGGTGTGTAAATACCTGTGCGGTGAGGGACGCTACTGGTGGAAAAGTGCTGGCTCTTTCATGCTGGTGTGAGGAGGAGTCGTTAAAAGCATGGTGTTGTTTTCTTTTGCTTTAGTGCCAGAACAGTCTCTGGCTCCCTCCCATGTTGTAGCTAAGTGTCTCCCCAGTCTGAAAATAGCTCACAATTAGGTTGAGCAAAGTGTTGATAAATAGCTCTTAATCTTAAGGGAAGTTGCTAATGAACCAGAGCAACAAGACAGGAACCATAGCTCGACCTACGATTTCTCTTGATCCTTGATCGTTTCCTGTAGGCTTTTTAACAGATCACAAAGCAGTAAAAAATGCATTAGTCCTTGAAGCATCCTACGCAACATTAGAGCAATGTGGAATGTTTGCATCTCCCACACAGACACGCACACAAAAATTGTGCTCTTCAGTGCAAAAATTTGTTTTTTTTCTTGGAGTGGTTTCTCATCGCCTGTGAAACCATCTTCAGGAAGTGATGTGGCCCACACCCAGCCCAGTGTGGGTTCAAAAAAAGAAAAGTTGTGCTGGTCCCGCCTGTCTAAATCTTCCAGGTAAGACACCATGTATTTTAACCTCTTAAATGATTAAACAATTCATCTCTTATCATGTTCTCTCATGTCAAACAGCCAGTGCTTTTAGTGTTTTTTTTCAAATAGACCTCTGTGAGCTTTTGCCAAATTAAGAACTCTGCTAAAATGTCAGTAATTGATGTTGGTCCTGACTTTTCCAAAAATTGAGGAAGGGTAATGGCAGTGTTTTGTGCCTTAAAGGTGAAACATTTGTACAGTTGAGGAGCTCAGGGACAAATAGCTCAGTAATCATTAATCATCATATACCTGCATTTGTCACTGTTACATTGTAGGTTAGCATAGAACAGATTTAACCTGCTCCCCCAGAACTTGGTCCATTGAGATTTATTATCTAGGCTAAATTTGCTCAATCGGAGATTGAACACAAGCAAGATTTGCCTTTTAATTTTATTTAATAACACCACATCTGTCAGAGCAGTAAAGGGAAGAATTCTGGCTCATTTAAAACTCCATACAGAGAAGATTAGATAAGGTAGTTGCCAAGAAAGTTTAACTTTGTGCATGGATATGAGCGTTTTTGCTTGATATGTTTTAATACATCAGAACAAGGTGGTTGTCTGTTTCTTTTTGGGAGAAGACTATGTATCCATCCTTCTTACTTTTTTTTATAGACGTATGTGGACTGAGAAGAAGGAAAAAACACAGAGAAGATACACAGCAAAGTGGATTCCAGCTGCGCTTTGACTGAAGATGATTGAAGTCTAGATTTGGGGGAAAAAAACAACTGTGGCACAGGACAGAAGTGTGCTCAGGACAGAAGAACTGTGCTGCTTTTGAAATGCTGTGATGTTCGGCTCTGTTGTTAATGCTCGACACGGACAGGGTAGATTATAAAATGTGCAGTCCGAACTACAAGCAGCCCGTCACTGGTGTCCAGCATACCGGGCTCCAGTGAGCAATTGAAACTCTGGTGACCATGGTTGCCACGGAAACCCTGACATGTTTATTCGAGGCCAAAGTGGATTGAAAGGAAGCCACTGTGAATGACTTTTCCGTTATGTCGTGGTATCAGTTACAAATAAAGAAACAAAAACCGGTATGTGCTGCGTCTTCCTTATTACACGTGACCGAGGTAAACGTTGCGTTTTGCTTCTGTGAAGGTGGAAAGTGAGTGCCAGCATGGAAATTCACCCACTTCCTCCTGGCACGACACTTCATTATTGCTCTCTTCCCAGTAATTCTGTGTGTCGACCTCTGGTGTTTGCAAAAGCCTCTTTTTTTTTTGCTTGCCTCACGGGTATTGGTGCTCTGAATGTTAGAAAAAAAGTGCTCTTGTGCTAGACTGCGATAATAAGAAAGCTTCTCTTCAACACAAAAAGAGCTCATTTACCTAGCCGTAAAATAAATACATGAACAGAAACGGACATGGCACATAAAACAAGCGGTATTTACCATTCCTGATTAAGATGGTTACCAGCTCTTGCTGTAGCTCGTGATTTATGTGGAGTCCGGTCCTGTAGGCGGTACTGATAAGCTCTCTTTCTTGATAAGATCACAAAGCAGTAACAGAGTGGGTAAATGACAGGGAAGAGAAGGGCTAAGAATTCCCGAAGAATGTAAAAGAAACATTGCATACAACACCTTAAATCATGTCACTATCAATATAATATTAGAAGTCTTCACTTACTCATCAGAATCCTTAAATGCAATACTGTTTTCTTTGCTCTGGAGAGATTTCCAGATGCATACATGTGCACCTGTGAAATTCAAAGGGAAAACATTCCTGCTGTTCCTGATTACCCCCAATGCATCACAGAGCATTTTTTCTGAATGACTGTATAGTTAGATTGATTGACTCTGTGCTGACGGTTCCAAGGTCACACCCTGTGGCACCTTTAATATTTTTAGGAAGAGCTGGTGTGTTTATCCTCCTTTAAGAGTTTCAATCTCCGGCATGTAATGGACAACAAGACATGTTGTGAGGTGGTGGCAGGCGTTCTTGGTTTTTTCAAATGAATTTCTTTCGAATGAGAGCCCAGGGGAATGACTTTAATGGGATGGGGTGGCTCTCCGTGGGCAGCATGAACCTGAGAGGAAAACGCAAACCTTTGCTTATTTAAAGTGACTCAAGCACACGGGGTTGCAAGTTAATTGACGTTAATTTTATTTGCAATCTTCTGGGTGAATTATCGGTTTTTGTGCCGGGAAACACCTGGAGAGAAATGTGTTAGAGAAGGACTCTTTTTCCAGTCCTCATAGGAGAAGAATGGTGTTTAGAATAGAAGCAATCATTAAATGTGAGCCATGCTTGTTGTACTATTTGAAGCTGAGGATGTATATACTTTTCAGTGCTGCTTATTAGTGACAGCTGAAAAAAAATCAAAAGTTAACTTCATCCAAAACAGCACAAGAAGACAGACTTGATGGCAATATTAAGATCTTGTTTTCTGCTCTTCATTTGGCCCTTCAGGTAAGTAAAGTAGGTTTCCTGATTTCCAGCTTTTTAAACTATATGCACTTCTTGTAGCCCTTTATTTAGGAATCACTGTGTTTAGTATTAAGATTACTTAATAATTAATCAAATACATTGATATTTTTATATGTTCATTGTACATCTTTAATTTGGAAATATTTGTTGGAAAAATGGGTAAAATAAGATGCATTGTCTTAATTTTCGAAAGACAAAAAAACATTTTTCAGCTGTCATAAAACACTGCATTGTTTAAATATAACTGCAGTTGTTTAGGATGACTGGTATTTGTTTTGCCTTTTCAACATTTCTGATATAGTTTTCACACCAATTTAAACCAAAGCGTATGAATTTCACCGGGTGTATAATATTGTCGGATGGTGGTGTTCTTAACTAATGTGGATCAAAAGATTAGTTGGGGGGGGGAAAAAAGATTCCCCCCTCCCCCCTCAAAAATAAAATTGAAAGACTGTAAAATTCTAAAAAAACAAAATGAAGTGCAGCATCAATGCCTTTCTTCTGCCAGCCTGTTTGTTTGGACTGCCTTCCACCAAGTTGTCAATTTAAGTGTTTGTGAACAACTTGCATTCAGTTTTGTTTGGAAAGGCGTTTGACAGAATTGGAGAATGTTGCCACAGCTTGCTTTGCGATTCCTTATGATCTCTTTTCCACCCCCCCTTTCTGATTTCGCTGTGTTTTTAACCTGCCGCGGTATCAGTCGTGCTTTTTTAACGGTACCCCTTTCGCGCCAGGGGGCCGTGATTGAGTCTCTGTGCTTTTCCGTTGTGCAGGGAGGCCGACGGCCGAGAAACCGGACGAGCCGTCGGGAAATCTGGAAGACGCGAAGGGGTCGGTTCTGAGGTCGGCCCTCCGCGGGGGGCGGTCCCTCGGGAAACGGGGGGCCGAGGATGGAGACGGCCAGCACCCCGCCAAGAAGAAGAAAATCGACCTCATCTTCAAGGACGTCCTGGAGGCGTCTCTGGAGGAGTCCAAGCGCGCGGGGACCCCCCTGTCCGCGAACAGCACTTTCCCTCTGCGGAAGACGAGGGGGAGCCGTGGCGGAGAGCTCCACGAGCGGCCCAAGGCGGCGCCGGCGGCGGGATGCTCTTACCTGGGCCTCGCCAGGCTGAAGACGGAAAGCAGATCGCCGGACCGGGCGGGAGGCTGCCGACAGGCCGAAAACGAAGCGGAGGCGGACGCGGGCCGCGTGAAGGTGGAGGACGCGGACGGCAGCCCCCGTGCGGCGGCCGACGGGCCGCCCGACGCGAGCCCCTCGACTTCTTTTTGCCCCAACTGCGTGAAGCTCAGGAGGAAGATCAGGGAGCTCGAGGCCGAGCTGGACAGGCTGAGGTCCGGGCAGCCACCCGAACCTCCCTGTCAGCCATCGCTGCCCGAACTGTCTCAGCTTGAAGAGCTACAAGGTACGTTCACGGTCGGGAAAGCACATGGAGAGCTTTCCTGGTGGGTCCCGAGCCCGAGGCGTCTAGCTGAGGAGTTTAGGCATCTTCATTCTCAGGCCCCAGCAGTAGATCTCTTGACCTGGTGGCTGGGCATGCTGCATATTGGTCTCATGTCATTACGGGCTATGCCCATCCTCAGTTTGGGTTTCTGTTGTGCTTCGACCTCCCAATTCCTCACGCGATAGGGATTAAATGGGAATTCTTCCTCTTTTTTTTGCACACTTCTTGTGGACTCTGTGCAGGCCTCTGGGTTTCCTTTCGTATCCTTTCGTTTCGAAGGGGAAAACAAAGCCATCATTGTCCCTGCGGTAGTTGTGTCACATTGACAGGTCACTGGCCTTTAGAAGCTTATGTTTTGCCATAAAAAGGCACAATTTGATATGGCTTTAGCTTTCAGTGAGGTGGTTGTCATATTTCTGTTTCATAACTGAACTTGTGGCATTTCTTTCATTCTTCCTGTTCTTGACATTCAGCGTGATTTGGCTCTAAGTCTAGCATGAGTGTCGGTGATGTGCTGTTTTTTATTATTTAATTAGTTGATGAACAAATGCAAAATGTATATTTCAAGTTGCCTTTGGTTAAGGTTGTGAAATGAATTATTCAATTGTAACATTTTTGTATCCTGATATTGGTGTTGCTATTTTATATTTAAATAAAATGCCCTCAATATTGTCGTATTAAAACATTGTACAAACTCAAAAGTTGTAATTTCTTCTTCTTGTATAAATAATGATCTTCTTGTTGCTGAGGTATTTATGCGTTCTTAGTGATTAATAAGATGATAGGAAGTGGTACATAAAGCAATGTATTACACTGTATTTGATGACATCTTAAGAATTTTGTTTCATTTGTGTCCCATATTATTACACATTATGAGTCTTTCTCATTTTTAACATTAATATTTCTGTTGCACATAAATTACCATTATAAAACCCCGGCTTTTCAATCTTAGGGTTAAACCTAAAATAAGTATTCAACACATTTGTGCTCTTAACAAAATTGTTTTCTTTACCCATTAAAACTAGCAGCACTTAACAATGTGCGTTATGCCTTCTTGTCTTGTAATTGTTTTTACAGTTTTATGTTTTTATGAATGCAATGAGTAATGAGTGTGTTGAGAAATCACTGAAGATGCTTCTTTCCTTTTTCCACTAAATAAAAGTGATTCAAGACATTTTCAAGATGTTTAAAAACCATTTTCTGTAGGGAAAGGGGTAGCTCATAAGTAAATAGCTCTTGCGTTAAAATTGTGCAGATCCTCACACTGCCCAAAACCGTTTCACCTGGTTGAGTAAAACAGTTGACATTAAAAGGTAAGTGTTTTATAAAGGTGTATTGTGCCACACCCGTATACAAATAGAGCACAAGAAAGGTTCCAAACCAGCATTTTAAGGTTCTAAGGTGTCACCTGTTTGGTAACTAGTAGCTCATTGACATGAGGATCTTATTCCGCCTTTTTTTGAAGAAAGCCAGGTTATCTGATTCAACAACATGGCCACATAGCTTCTTCCAGACCCCCAACTCCCTCTGTGCCTACCTGTTCTCCATTAAAAGTGAACTAGCCTAAGTAGTGCTTTTTCATTAGTTAGCTTTAATAGCTCTTTCTTTTCAGCTTTTTGTTGTCAAGAGTCTCGTGTTGACCTTTCCAGTCAATTATGCAGAGGTGATTCCTCGATTGTTTTTTTAACGTGTTATAGTTGCATTGCTTGAGCTGCAAGGCACCACAGATAGATGATGGTCGTTCATGTTGCTGCAGTTTAATGAAGGGGGGAAAAATAAAGCACCCTTTGAGAGCAAAACTGATATTGTTCTCATTTTTGTTCCCCCACCTCCCACCCCTCCACCCCCTCTGCAGCCTCAGAAGCGATGACTCCCATTCCCATCGTCATGGATGACGACGACCCGGATGTGGACTCGGCGGATGAATCCATCGCCACCGATCTCATGGTGACCACCGATGAGTCCTCTAAGCTGTCCAGTGGCCCCGGTCGCCGGATCCGACGTTTCAAGCAGGAGTGGCTGAAGAAGTTCTGGTTCCTGCGTTACTCCCCAACCCTGAACGAGATGTGGTGCCACGTGTGCCGCCAGTACACTGTCCAGTCCTCCAGGACCTCCGCTTTCATCATCGGGTCCAAGCAGTTCAAGATCCACACCATCAAGCTGCACAGCCAGAGCAACCTGCACAAGAAGTGCCTGCAGCTCTACAAGCTGAGGATGCACCCGGAGAAGACGGAGGAGATGTGCAGGAACATGACCCTGCTCTTCAACGCCGCCTACCACCTGGCTCTGGAAGGGAGGCCGTTTTCGGACTTCAGGCCCCTGGCGGAGCTCCTGAAGAAGTGCGAGCTGAAAGTGGTCGACCAGTACATGAACGAGGGCGACTGCCAGATTCTCATCCACCACATCGCGCGGGCTCTGAAGGAGGACCTCATCGAGAGGATCCGGCAGTCCCCATTCCTCAGCGTCATCATGGACGGCCAGAACGATGACCTGCTGGCCGACACGGTGGCCGTCTACGTGCAGTTTACCACCAGCGACGGCCCCCCCGCGACAGAATTCCTGTCCCTGCAGGAACTGAGCTGCGCCACCACTGACGGGTACCTCCAAGCTATTGACAGAGCCTTTGCTGTCTTGGGGATGAGACTGCAAGATGTGCTGATTGTGGGCTTGGGCATCGATGGATCCAATATCTCCTCAGGTTTGAGGTCCAACCTCTACATCACGGTGAGGAAGACTCTTCCTTGGGTGCTTTGCCTTCCGGTCATGATCCACCGACCCCACCTGGAAGTCCTGGATGCCATCAGCGGGAAGGAGCTCTCTTGCTTGGAGGACCTGGAGAATAATTTAAAGCAACTGCTCAGCTTTTACCGCTATTCCCCTCGAATGATGGCTGAGCTGAGGGCGACTGCGCCCACGCTCTCCGAGGAAACGGAGTTCCTTGGGGATATCAGAGCTGTCCGGTGGATCATTGGGGAGCCAAATGTCTTAAATGCTTTGATAAAGGATTACCTGGAGGTTGTGGCCCATCTCAAGGAGATCAGCAGCCAGACCCAGAGAGCAGATGCTGCAGCCATTGCCCTGGCTTTGCTGCAGTTCCTCATGGACTACCAGTCCGTGAAGCTCATCTACTTTCTGTTAGACATCATCGCAGTTCTCTCCCGTTTGGCTTTCGTCTTCCAAGGGGATTACCTGTTGGTATCTCAAGTGGATGCCAAGATTGAAGAGGCAGTGCAGGAGATCGGGAGGCTGACTGATTCCCCAGGGGAATATTTGCAGGAATTCGAGGAGAGCTTCAGGGAAAGCTTTAATGGTGTGGATCTGAAGAACCTGAGGGTTGCCGAATCCAAGTTTCAGTCCATCAGGGAAAAGATCTGCCAGAAGACCCAGGTGATCCTGGCTCAACGGTTCGATTGCAGAAGCCGGCCGATCGTCAAGGCTTGCCAAGTTCTTGACCTCACCACATGGCCGAGGAGCACCGACGATCTCCTGACCTACGGAGAGGAGGAAATTCTGCTCATCTTTGGCCATTTGGAGGCCATTCCGTCCATAGCAAGGGAGGTCTCCCGGGAAGGAGCTGATGTCCGAGGAAGCTTGATAGTGGAGTGGAGGGATCTCAAATCCGATTACTACAGCATGAACGGATTCAAGGAGGTGATCAGCCATATATGTAAGTACAAGCAGAAGTTCCCCCTGCTAAATAGGATTGTGCAGATTCTCAAGGTTTTGCCATCCTCGACGGCTTGCTGCGACAAGGGCCGCATTGCCCTGCAGAAAGTACGGAAAAACAACCGGTCCCGCCTCACTCTGGATCAGGTGAACGACCTGCTGACGCTGGCGGTGAACGGGCCGCCTATAGCGAGCTTTGACGGCAAGCGGCCATTGGACAGCTGGTTCGAGGAAAAGTCGGGGAACAGTTACTCTCTGTCGGCAGAGGTGTTGAGCAGGATGTCGGCGGCAGAGCAGAAGTCAGTCCTGCATGGCCTGGACTCGAGCACCGAGTTTTATCCTGATGTTTGACGTTCAGGCTCCCGCTGGGACCGATCAACTTCGAAAAGCCATCAAAAAAAAGAAACTTTGCTGATGGACTAATCAAGATATCACGCGATAATGAAACCAATTGACAGTAGCACTGCTGCTAATATGGACTGCACAGGTGTGTATGATACATGGGGAGTAACGTATATTAGCTTGGTTATTATGCTGAATTTAAGTATATTAAGTCTATATTGCAGATGGTATACAAAGCCAATTCATTCTACCTTCAATAGAGCCACATACCAAATTGTATGTATCCTTAAAATAGTTTTTTTGTATTTTTATGTCTTTTGTAGGGGTTAACAGAAACATATCCAGAGCACATTTTCACTGGGATATTTTATAAGATTATCCGTTTCCTAAGATGGAAGAGTAACACGAGTTACGCAATGTTTCCTCTATATCATCCTATATGGTAGGATCGCCTCTGGCTCTCATTAGTTGAAGCCGATTATGACTCCCATGGTAATGTTCCACTTAAATTCTAGCTGCTGATCACAGGAAAGTACTGGCTGCACTTTTTAATAATTAAAAAACAGCTTCTGCCTCAAGAAAGCGTGAGGTTTGCCGTCTTATAGTGTAGGTGCAGTGATTAAAATATAACTTCAGTCTGCTCAGATTGGGATAATGTTTAATAAGGCATTTGCGAAGTTCAACTAGTGAAACTGTTTCCTAAAGTCTTGGAAATCCGTTTACACAGAAATAATCAAGCTTGACAGTTAGTGATTAGAGAAGGAAACCTTCTGGACTTACTGTAAGTGAGACCAAAACTGGCTAACCTGAACAGAAGATGCATTTTTTATGTGTAAACTGAAAACATGTTCAGTTTTCCACCTTAAAATATTCAGGGACAACTTCCATTTCATTCTTTAAAGACACTTCAGCAATCTGTGGGATGAAATGTAAACTGACTGCAGCCCAGAGGGCTTTTGATATTCTTTTGACTTCTTGTGGCGTGCAGGTGACGAGGAAAACAAAGTTCAGACTGCTTTGAAATCAGTTTCTTTAAAACTCTGGGAGTGGCTTTTAAAAAACAGGACAGTTGAAGTTATGTTTGTTCTCTGTGACAGTTGTCTAGAGAAACTGAATAAGGAAGGGGTCCCTGAAGTCTGAATGATTAGTTTTTCGTTTCATTGGTATTTTATTTTTAAAGCCATATAGACGTGGAGAGAAAGGGGACACAAAACCAGTTTGTCATTTCTTTGTTTGCAGGTGTTGCCACTGACTAAAGAATTAATACGTTTAATTTCCTTTTTTATGTACAACGCTGTACATAAAAGGTTCTTAGCACGTTGTGGGGTAATAATTACAAATCTTTGGTAAAAAGCTTTTTCTTTGTTCCAAAAATTACAGACGTCTGTTGTATGTATATAAAAGGGGGTTTTACATTGTTGAACCTGGCATTTATTAATATGAATACTCGCACTTATGCTTAAAAAGTGTATGCCTTATTAATGCAATCAGCTGGCAGTGTACATGCTGCTAACACAAAATATGTACACGCATATACTTAACACAGTTTTATTTCTTGTGCAATCTTGTGCACCTATTACCTTAAATCGTTGAAATCATATTAGATAAGCTAAGTGTGATCACACTTCTTTTAGTCTGCAAATGGAAACGTCTATTTTCACCAACATCAACCTTACTGTTTCTCCCTGCTGGAGTAATAGTGCACTAATGGACATTTTCAGCAGGTGTCAGTGTGTCATACTATAATACAGTGGACAGGCACAGTGATTGTGCTGTCTTGAAAAACAGTGAAACACCTAAACAGTAGCAAATAATAAGCAATCTGACTTGATCTTGGAGATCTTGTGGAAAATCCTAGGATAAAGTGACAATTATTTAAATGTTGATTTAGAGCTTTAAAATTGTACAATGATTTCTGTCTCCTCCCCCCCCCCCGCCTCACACGCACATACATCGTTTTATTCGGTCTGTTCTTTTTATTTTTATTTTCCACTTTTCCAAAGTGTCTCGTGGTCTCCGTGGTCACAGACATTAAACAAATGACCAGAGTGCTTTTGGGTGGCCAGTGGTTCAAAACGCGCTTGCCAAATCCTGTTTTTCAAAGTTATGGGAAATCGATCAGACTGTGTCAAGTGGGTTAATTGTGAGGGGGGATAATTTGTGTTTTTTTAATTGCTATTTTTGTAATCTGTAATCACTTTATGAGGTAACTGGATAAGAAAACAGTTATCGCAAGCCTACAAGCACTTAGATTTAACAATGCAGTACTTCTACAGGCAGCAGAGGCCTGACAAGAATGGAGAGTGATATGAACAAATGAATGAAATGTGACTGCTCCCGAGACTCTGCATGACTGTTTCTGTTCAAACTAAATATCTGTAGATATAAAAGTATATACAAGTTGAAATATTTATATATATACACAGTGACATGATTTGTTTTCTTTGTTTTGCTAAATTGCCTTTGAAGATTATAATAACTGTTTTTAAGATTGATGAGTATTTCAGCCTTGGGATGAATTGATATTGGAATTGTGGAAAACTGGGAAGGATTGTTATGTGTGAAGCCATTATTTGTAACCAATAAATAAAGCTATACGTAGAAGCGCAGCCTAGTTCCCATTCAAAAGCATACCTGTTCCAGGTTGACATCTTTTTAATTTTTGTTTTTTTCATTTTGGAAGCTGAACTCAAGTTTATTCATCTCCTTTAGCTCCAGATTTTGTGAATTGGGCTGTTTTATATCCAGCCACTGCCTTGAATTTGGTTAAAACAAAATCATCCTATTATTTCACTGTAGTGAAAAGCACCTTTTAAAGGAACTCCAAATTCCCAAACACCTGTGTCTTGGACTATTAGCAAAAACAACAGTAAAAAAAAAACATTTCGAGTATATATTTCTCTTAACATCTGCTGAAATGGAGCCACTCAGCTTGAATCTCTTCCATTTTACTCCGTTTCAGTTCTTTAATGTGTCCCAACAGCTTGATTGTCCTTCCGATTGTGTTAATTATCTATTTAGTCATTCAGAGCCCTGTTTTAGCTAAATTCCAGCACAGAGAGAAAGGAGATGGGAGCTGATGCAAAGATTTTAAAAATGGGTATGCTTTCGAAGTGCTAGGTGGACTCTGTTATCTCACAATGAGGTATATTTTAGGAATAAATAAGCTCATTTTAGATACAATTGGCTGTATCGCCATTTTAAACTTGTCTTACATTTCCACCTTTTTTTAAATGGTTTACTAAGAAACACATTTTGGTGGAATCAGACAGCCATATTAGCATTTGCTACTTCTTAGAAAGAATGTTTTGCTGTGTCTGATTGGGGTTAATGAGCCGGCTGTAAAATTTTATGACTAATTGTTTTGTGAATGCCTCTGTCTCCCCAGTTATTTCACAGTTGCATTGCTAGCTACACAGTAACACTACAGTAGCAGTCATGCTTATTCATGTTTAGTGATGATCTGATATCTATAGGCATCCTTTGGTGTTGTACCTGTATGGGAGAATAATTTCATATTCATTCTTATTGTTAAAGTTAAACATTTTTATAGCTGCAGTAGAAGTAGGAGAAATTTCCTACACACTTACAATTGCTGTATAGTATGTATGGAAGTATGTATGTTACATCACATCTGCTCATGAATACTGCAAAGAAAAACTTTCCCCAGCCATGAGCTGGAAAAGAGCTCAACAGAAAGGGTCTTTAGTTCTTCTTTTAAAACACCTTAAAAAATCCCCTAATCTTTTTTTTTCTTTTTAAGAATAATTCCTGTTTTAAGTTTTTCTTATTGCACCAAAATGCTAGATCCAAATTTAGGATTATTGCTAAATGCCTGAAAGTAATAATAAATATTATGGCAAATGAAAGTAATTAATTTTTTAGGGGTGAGAAAGCATACTATCTTAAGCTCGCTAAAAAAAAATCTCTTTGCAATTTTCTTTGGACTGATTTGTGTGAATGATTGACATTTCCATTTATAGAACTATATTATTTGTCATAAGTGTATCAACAGTGAAAAGACAACTTGTGTTTGTAAAACCACCCATAAACATGTTTGTGGATTTGTGTGCTATACTTAATTATACCTGTGTGAAAGCTATAAAAATATATGAGCATTTAACACTGGAGATATACAAAACTATATATAGAAATATATAATTATATATAAAATATCAACCCACTCAAATTTACATTGTTATATTATACTTGTTACATCAATGATTGTGTAATAAAAATTGATAAATTTTGTATTGCAATGTTGTTGCTTCTGACTCTTTTTCCATATGCTGTATTAGTTCATGTGGAAAACAGTTTTTGATTTTCTTTCATAGCACTTGTTTAAAAAAAGAATCCACCATCCTAAACATTTTTACATGTTTTTTTCTTCTTCATTCTTTTGCTTTTCCATTTGTAGGAGGAAATCATTTTCGACCCTGACCTGCATGGTTTCATGGAGCTGTATGTGCAGATTTCGTAGCTGAAGGCTTCTGTTTTAGAAATGAAAGCACTCACAGTTACAGTATGAATGAAAATGATTTTGACATCCAAAATAATAAACCTTCGCTGAGGGGCAATATCATAAATTAAACGGTGCAATACATCGCTTTTTTATAATGACCTTTGTACCCCAGCTTTTCAAACACACCGATTTTCTGTGAAATACAAAATAGCAGTTGTATTTTAATACAATTGGAGATGTTTCCTTAAAAAATAGAAACCGATATCTTGCTTGTTGTCATCAGGAGAGTGTTGTGGAATTTGGAATCAGGCCACCTGTCTCCGTGGTAACGGAGATGGAGAGAGTGAGCGTGGTGCTGACCTTAAAAAAAGACACACACTGGGAAGAAGTGACGGAGAAAAAAAGCGTAGCACCATTCTTGGTGTTGAAAGTGAGGTTGTCATAGGATAGGCAGGTGAGTCTTGCACATCCAAGCTCATGCTGCCTAAAAAGACCTTTTTCCCCGGCACAAGGGCAGACGACTCGTGATTTAGTTTAGCCACTTTCGGAAGAGCTTAGAACTACAAACATCCTTCACAAAGATACATGTGAAGTAGAAGAAATTTGGCCCCACGTTTTGGTGAGATCCTGAGCAGGCCCACACAACAGCTCGAGTCTTTTTGTTTTAGTGTGTGTTGGTGTTGTAGTTCACAGCCTGGAAACAGCAAGGGAGAAGAAAGGGTGTAGAAAAGGCAGGCGACTGAAAGTGACAGAACAGACGTAAAATAATACAGTAGCTGGAGATGAGAACTGAAAATCCCTGAGGATGTGCTCAAAATCTAACTGAAACCAAGAATTCCTGAGTGGCATGTTTTCTTTCCTCTGGCAGGTTTTGAACTCTCCGTGGTGTTAGGGGGACCAGTAGGGGGCACTCACCCTGCGTGGGCCTTAATGCCCCAGTATAGTGATGGGGACAATATACTGTAAAACCGAAGTCCTGACTCTCTGTGGTCATTAAAAATCTTAGGGCTTTTTTTCCAAAAGAGTAGGGGTGTTACCCTGGTGTCCTGGCCAAATTTCCCCCTGGCCTCCTAATAGAGTCATGGCCTCCTAATAATCCCCATCTCTGAACTTGCTTCATCACTCTGCTCTCCCCCTTACTGCTAGTATTGGCCATTGCATCATTCAAGTGGGGGCTGGTGGAGGGGATCCCCGATACCAGTCCAGAAAAGGGCTCTATCTGTGTAAGGAAGTATTATTATTATTATTAGAGCTTTGTGAGGCAACAGCTCCAAACTCCACATGACTGTGCTGCCGAACATAAACTTTCATCACTTAAATAAATTAGGGACTTGAAGGATCTTCCATAATAGAGGCCACCTCTGGAGTCCAAGGCAAGCAGCATGACAGATGAGCTGTTCTGTATCATGGCATCAGAAGCAGGCTGATTTTCATTAAGCCAAAGCTCAATGTTCTCATTGTGCAGCCACCTTGTGATTTAGAAGCCAGTGTTCATAATCAACTTTGCTCCAGTAATAAAGGGCACATAGTGCACAAGGGATTTCATGAGCTTACCCATGATGTTGAAAGGACTCTGCACGACTGCTTACTGCTGCTCTGCAAAAGCCAGAACAGGCCTCTGTCTGATGGCTAATGCTCGGCAATGCTCAGTTTCCCCCATGTGCACGTGCAGGTTTCTTGACCTGTGCCATTAATGAACAGAAAATGTTTCATTACTGCAGGACATGAGTATAGGCCCAAGAAAATAAGTGAAGATTTGAATCCAGCCAGGAATTTTACAAGCTTTGAATTTTGATCAGAGCTCTTTGTTTTTTTTTGTCCAGCTTGTTTAATCATGGTCTCAATTCAGAGCATAATTCTTATTGAGAATATGGGGTTCTTTTCTTTATTGACCATGGAATCTTTAACTATAAGTTGTCACTTTTCTGTTGAAAATCTACTATATTTCAGCATGGATTACTTAATTCTTTTGCTTTCATCCACTCTCTTGTTCTGGGTTAGTTTTGGGAGAATGGATTGGCTTTTAGCTCCAGGGAAAAGAAAATTATTGCCTGGATTCATATTGCATCTTTTGTCCCAAAGGATTTCAAAGCACTTTATATGCAGGAGGGGACCCACTTCAACTGTCCTTGAATTTCGGGTCCCCCTCCTGACTGACACCAGCCACACTGCGCCACAGCTGACACAGAGACAGGGAGAATCAGTTCAACTTGGAATTAAAGGGGTAACTTTGTGCAGGGCAGATTATGCAACCCCAAAGATGAATGAAGTTGGGACACCAACCAGGGAGTCATCTCTACCCCTACTCTCATAAACAGTCCCTGGGATCTTTTTAGACCTACTTGTCAAGACCTTGGGATAACATCTCTTCTAAAAGAAGACACTTCCTACAACGTAGACCTGGAATACTGGGACTTTGATTTGGGAATTCTGGCCCAGGGAGGCACAACCCACCTACTGGTCCTGTATTTATAGACGCTTCCAGGTTTTCCATAGAGGTCCCCGATTCCAGGACTGATCAGGTGCAACTCTAGTACAGCTTCTGAGATCCCGTTAGCTCAGACTACGAGGTAATAACACTGCTTGGAAAGCTAGAGGTTTTTGCTGTTTGTGGTTCAGACAGTCAGCTGTTGAGGGCTTTTGTTTTTTTAATGAGACGATTGATTTCCATACTGTTTTTGCACTGTATGTCCTGATAAAGCCTCTGTGCCTGATAACAGATTGAAACAGCAAGTGACAGTTCCTTTTTATTTTGGCCAGAAGATGTGCTAAGTCTCTACATTGACAAAAAAAGAATGAAGCTCATATCATTGAGAACAGCCTTCACATCCTATATTGCACTCCTGTCTGATTTCCTTTATGACTCTAGTGACATTTTCTAAGGTTGTGCGTGAAAGCAATTCGCACCCTTTGAGCTGTGAAACACCATGACAGGAATTCCATTTTAAAGGCCTTACTGAATGTACAACGTGCTTTCTCAAATCACCATCTGTTGTGTTATAATATAGGGGTTCACAGTCGGACGCCATGCCCACTGCTCTCTGCTTAAACTGTTTTTTGACCACTAGTAGTAAACATGGCAGTGACCTCCCACCTATTATTAATCACTTCACTAATAGAGTGAACTGACTAGCATGGAAACTCCAGGACAGGGCTGGGATGTAGAACAGTGATCAGGACCATAGCTCTCGTTGAATATGGAATAAAATCTCTGCACTGTAACACTCTAGATACACTGTAGTTCTTTATGACGGTTCTTTATTGTAAAAGCACTTCTGCATCATGTCATATAATAGGAATATTTCTTAGAAAATATTCAGTAACATATAATTAGACCGTATCACTATCTTCACTTAATATTTCTGTTTTCCAATCCCATGTGGGTGTTGCTACCAGGGAATGGTGAAAATATATATTTTTTTATCCTTGTAGGATGTTACTGCTTTTGGCAGACTACTGAGATTTTGTTATGTTATATAAGGTATTTTTCATTATACATTCTTAATATCTGTGTTGGTTCAATCAAGTCTGGAGGTAAAATGAGAAGGAATCATCGTCTGTCTGTTTTTGTAGTTTATAGGGATGAATATTTATTTCCGGCATTGCGTTTTGAATTTGATGATGAAATGTGTGTATTTACTGAGTGAGATTTTTGTGACTTTTTTTATTTTGTAAAAAACGTAATCCAAAATGTGCTGTGTGTGAAGTTCAATGTATTGAAATATTGAAATGGTATAGAACTGCTTGAAACAATTGAATATTAAAGGTTATTTTAATATCTATCTTATCCTACAAAGGATCTATATTTTAGAGTACTTTTATTTGCCATAGGTGTTAGTCATGGAGTGAATATAAAGAGAAATTATGCTTCTTAGTTCTTCTTAAACAAATTTTCTTGAGCTGACTAAGCAGAGCTCCCAACAACCTTAGCTCTCGAGTGTTGTGATGATAATCTATCATCACCAGGCGATTACACAATTGGCATCCAGATGTCCCAGGCGCCTTCATTCATACGTCCTCATACACATTACTTTAATTCAATGAACACTACATGTGGAACAGCCACATCTGTGGAAATTTAAAATACATTTACACAATCCGCCATAAAAAAAACATTTATTGGGAGTGCAAACACTAATACACTTTTTCCCGTCTAATATACTATACAAGTTGTATGTTATTTATGTGTTAAAATATCTTGAATTGACACAGATTCTTATTTTCCATCAGAAAGCTCTGTGTGAGAAGGGCAACCACTGCATGATGTCAGACTAACAGACAAGAACTGGAGAGGGAGCTTGATGAATTGGGTTCTGCCCAGTGACAAAGCACAGGGCTTGAAGTGGTTTGGTCCAGTTTATTAATGTCATAGTCATTTCATTCTTAATGCTCTTCACCTGAGCTCTCTTTTTGAGAAGAATATGAGCAAAAATGGACCTTCTATGAACAACTGAATAATCATAGTCATAGTTTAAATTGAATTTTATTCTACAAATAAATTCTGTATATAGATTATATATATTCCAAATCCTCCATCATATCAATCTAATAGAATATAGACATATAATAAGAGTGGACTTTCATATACCCTGATTTGATACAAGCAATTTTGTTTTTCTTTTTAAGACAGCAGCTGAATGACAAGCAGGGTTCTCTACAGAAATGAAATTATTGAAAAGTTGACTCTCATAGTCCTGCTGTCTGTTCTAAGATTTGTTCTGAATTTGGAACAGATGTTGGACATGTGGCTGGCGTGCGTCACACGCATGTCATGGACTGATTGGCGGATTGTGTGTGTTTGCTTGCGCTATGCAGGATGGTCAGGGACAGGATAGCATCATGACCTACACTTCTATAGGCTGAAAAGAGTCCATGTCACATGTTGATATACATTATTAAAATCAGAGTATACAAGGACATAATCTCTACAGGAACCTTTACATCAAAGTACA